GGCGGAAAAAAAAAAAAAAAAAAAAGAGGCTGGCTCCCACATGGCCAATTGCACAGTTCAAGTAATGAACTCAGAAGTCTATAAAATATGCCAGGCATATGCAAAAGTGTGCTAAAAAAACAAACAAACAAACAAACAAACAAACAAACAAAAAAAAACCTCGAAGGGAGTATGGCAAAGAAGGGATTGTAGTATGGCCATTCCTCCTGGGGGTTGACTTCTTACTTTATTTCCCCACTCCCCACCCCTCCTGCAAGCTCACATGCCCTATACAAATTAAAAAAAGAAAAGAGACGTTTCATATAGGAATAGCAATTAATTCCAATTCAAAGAAAAGCTAAGTGTGCCATAAAACTACAGAATTTTTTAAATAATTACTTAACTTTATTTATTTACTTATTTTAATTTGGCTAGAGAATACAGAGAGAGAGAGAGAGAGAGAAAGTGAGAAAGCAAGTCACCAGACCCAGGACTTGAACCACAGTCAGCCATGTGGGAGTCCAGTACCCTTAACCACCACACCATCTGCCGGACCAAATTTTAGAATATTTTAAAAGAATTTTTATTTAATTTTATTTATGTATTATTATTTTTTAAACTTGGCCAGAGAGAGAGAAAGTGAAAGAGCAAGTCACCAGGTCCAGGATTCAAACTATGGTCAGCCTAGTGGGAGTCCAGAGCCTTAACCACCATGCCACCTGCTAGCTCCTCAGAATATTGTAGACTTATCCTCTAAGAATATTCATAATCAGGAATGAGGAAGAAATAAAAATATAGCATTATGTTCTTTCCTATTGGGAAAAAAATGGTATCTTTAAAAGTCAATGAAGTAATGCTACAGCCAAAGCTTTCTTCACTAACTATTGCAACCACTGGGTTAACCAATGCTCATAATTTCCTCTGTAAAACATACTGACCAGTGCCCATAGTACTCTGAATACTTGGGGCTGACAGGTTACTATTCTGAATAATAACAAAAACTAAATACTCACTAGGCACCCAGAACTCCTATTATGGGCTTTACATGCATTATTATCCCTCACAATAACCCTATGAAATGCCCTTTTTATAGATGAGGATATGAAAATAGACACAAATTGCCTGACCAAGTCAAAAAACTACTAAGCGTTAAAATGGGATTAAAATGCAGAGCTTGGTCCCAGTTTCCATACTCAGTCTGCATAAAGCTACTATGAAATTCTGCTGACCAGCTGAAATGTATTCTCACTTAACACTTGTAAGAATTAGGTGAGTCTGTCCCTGAACCTGTTTGAGTCATCTGTATTTGTTACTGTAATTATGTAATTTAATAGTATGCTACATACAATAATTACATCTGTGAAAACTAAACTGACTACTCTAAAAAGCATCAATTAAGACAAGTCATCAAAAATACTTCTGGCCCAGCTCCATGGTAACAGCAATGTGCTGCTCAAGATAAGCCAAGGACCAGGCCAGGCCCTGGTTTTTAAAGGAATTGAACCTCACATGGGGTTAAGTCCCTGCCCTAGCAGCTTGAAAAACAAGGCAGGTATTTGTGCATACATGCCCCAAATCCCAACAGAATAGAAAAACGGAGGAAAAGAGATTGTAGTCATGACCACATCCCATGGAGGGTCACGAGATGCTTTCTCCTTTTCTCTCTGGCAAGTGCACATGCCTTTGGCAAAAAAGAGAAAGAGAAATTAGATCCTACACTCCTACACAGTGAATTCCCGGCCCAGAGTGCCTGAAACCAGGCTCTGTGGGCATGCGTGTGAGTGCCCATGATCCAATGGGCCTGAGGGAAGGAGATCATGGCATGACCAGATGACTTTGTGGAGGGTACTAGACTCTCTCATGTGTATGCACGCATGCGCACACACATACACACGCTCTCTCATACTTTATCATGAATAAAGGGAAGCAAAATCTTAAAAACTCATTAAACTTCTGTCTAATTAAGTGTAGGTAAAAACTAACTATAAAGGAAAAGAGAAAAAAAAAAAAAAAAAAAAGAAAGAAAAAAGAAACAATGGGCATGAACTTAGATTACTTAGTTCTTGCTCCTTTTCAGACACCCAAAATGGAAACCACAGATAATGCATTATAAATACAATTTGTGGGAGGAAAAAATTGGAATCCAATGCCAATCTGTGCTTAAATATCAAAGGAAATGAAAAATGAATTTAAGTCAACCTTTACTTACAAAGATTTTTACTTTTTGTGATCTCCACTGTAATCAACTTCTCATTAATCAACCTGTTACTTGTCCTAGTCATGTTGGCTAAGAGGGTTTCTACTGTATTTTGTTTACCCACAAATTCACAAACTTGTAATAAAGTAGTAGAGCAAAGTTCTGAGGAAAATCAAATCTGCTTTACTGCTAAGCTACAACTGTCAAAATCAAACTGCAAGTTATTTTATGATCCTTACCCATCTTGTGTGGGTGGGTATTCGCATTCTTGTCCTTTGGGAAATACACCATTAGGATACAGGTCACATATCGGAACAGAGGGAGGGTCTGTTTGAACTTTTGCTGTGAGACACAAATAGAGCATTAACTACTATAGTAAAAAATGAAATTATGCAGTTATCACAGTTATTATCGTCATTTATGTCCTCTAATTTTAAGAAACCTTGCTATCACTTTACAGTTAAAAACAGAAAACAGCATGTGTCACCACGCTGGACATCTCTCTGATACTGCTGCTTGATAAGAAATCTTCAGCTCCTCAGGACTCCATTTATAGTTGAACAGCATATATAGAGCCTTGGCAGAAAGCACATGTCTCATATTTTATCTTCATTCACTATACCATAAATTGAGTAGCACAGAGACTGGCTTTCACAAATAAAAACTGAAGTAGTGAGAAAATAAGAAATAGGTCCTACAGCAATAAAAAGATAAGCCTATTATATACCAATAAGTGAAAAATTATTTCTTTAAGGGTATATATTAGTTATACAAGTTAAGAAGATACATATTTAATGCTGAAAGACTTTAGGTGGCCACAGGCAAATTTCCAGATACTTAAAAAGCTGCATTACTTACAAACATTTTAAGACATTATTTCTCAAACAATATACTAATGAATACCAGTGTTTCCCAAGATACATTACCAAAAAATCTAAAAAAGAAAAACTCAAAACTTAGGGATTTAAAAAAAAAATACTTATGATCCAGATAAACAGTTTTTAGCATATGAAGACCTGCCTTTCGCGTTTGCCAGAAATAGAGAGACAGACAGAGGGTAAGAAAACGAGAAATCACCACCCCCCACCGCCGCCAGGGGGGATGGCCACGCCGCAATCCCTTCTCCTCCATTCTCCTCTCGGGATCTTGGGCATGCACACACACACACGCACCCGGCATGAGTTTAAGACACCAGGTCCAGGACTTGAACTGCAGTCGACTACATGGGAGTCCAGCGACATAGCCATTATGCTAACTGCTAGTCCTGGACCTGCCTTTTAATAACAAATGCTGTATCCAAAGTGACAAGAAGTTGCCTATAAACCAATCTATGTAGTAATATATGACTTTCAGTTTGTACACCCGCAATATCTACCAGTCACCAAAATGAAGCAGTTGGTTTTCTTCTGATCATAAATGGTCTTACAGATTTTCTTAAAAGAATTATTTAACTTTATTTATCCATCTATTTATTACTTATATAAATTTGACAGAGAGGGACAGAGAGTGAGAAAGTAAGCCACCAGGTCCAGGACTCGAACCGTGATTGGCCATATGGGAGTCCAGTGCCCTTAACCACTACACCACCTGCCAGCCCCAGTCTTACAGATTTTTACCTTAAATTTTAACACATATTTTGTTCTTTTTGTTCTGCAAAAGGGAAAAATGAGGCACATATATGAAGATATGACCATTTACTGAAGCATATCTCTATATCTCTTTATATCTCTCTTTATATCTTTATCTCTCTCTTTACATGTTTTACATGTTTTAAATGACAAACTTATTTTAGGTTCCTTCTAGTACATGCCTAAGAGAAAGGAGCATTATAAATAAAAAAAGATCTTATCATGGAATTTCCCAAATTAGCAGGTAGATGGCTCTGAGGTGCTGACAATGGAGGCAACTCTCAAGCTAAAGTCCATTCCTTTTGGGAGAGCAAACTCTTATAATGCTGTTTCTTAGAGACTTACCAAGTTAACAAGCTAGAAAGGCAATAGTTTCCCTAAAAAGTAATTCAAAAACTTCTCTCAACAGGGATAAAAGTAGAAATCAAGCCTCCAAAACTCTGACTAATGAAACTAGAGTCTAAACATTTTCAAAAGAAGACATAACCAGACACTTGGGGGTTCCCAACAGCCCGAAGGACATCCAAGATTAGAGTATACATGTTCTCATTCTCAACCTAACCTTTATTCCCCAATACTGTATGATTTCCCATAAGTTTCCCTAATACATTCTCAGGACCCTGAAGACCTTAGTTACAACATCTGTAGAAACACAAAACAAGTAGGATTATATTTTATACAAATCTGAGTACTATAAAAGTCATTAATAAAATTTTATCATATTCACATATTTTCAATAATACAATTCCTCATTCAATGTTCATCAAGAATCTTACGCTTTCAAAGCTGGCAGGTAAACTGCAAACTGTTTGTCATGTTACTACAGAGTGGCACCACTATGGCCATCCCTGAAAGAATTTTTCTATGAATTATTCAAGTTCTAAACTATGAAAATTTTAGGGAATCATTAACATATAGGAAACGCAATATTAACATCCCTTAGCTGTAACAGTTAAAGAAAATACCAACAAGATGTTAAGCCAAGGTATTTGCTAAGTAATTAGTTTCACTAAACTCTACCTCTTAAGCCTAAATTTATTTCCCTGAGATTATTTCAGGACTTCATGCAACTTCAAACCTACTATTCAAACCTGTTGGTTAATAACTACATCTAACTTATCAAGTGAGATTAATTTAAGACACTAACGTCCTCTCTTCTTCTTTTTCTTTTTCTTCTTCTTTCCAGTTGCTCCATCTCCATCACCATCTCCATCTAAAAAAAGGACAATTTTTTCAAGTACATATTTGTTTAAATCTCATAGGCAGAGGATCAAAGCAAGCTCAAGAAGACACGTCTGTGCAAGTGAACGTGTGTACACACACACACACACACACACACACACAAAATCTCTCTTAAATAGAACAAGGCAAAATTCACCCAACACTTTCATAAAAATCACCCCGAGGGGATGACTATGACACAATCCTTCTCTTCCAGGTTCCTCTTAGGAGTTTGGGCATGCACACACACGTGCCTGGCATGATTTTCAAGCTGCCAGGTCTGGGGCTTGAACTGCATAGTCAGTCATGTGAGATACAGTGCTTTAAACTCCATGCCACCTGCTGGCCCATTAAAAACTTTTGAAAATAAAAAATATACTAACTTCCTTTTTAAAACACTAGTAAAGGGACTACCAGGTAGCGTACTGGTGAAGGAACTGGATTCCCATAGTCAACCATGGTTCTTCTTGCACGGCAAGAGGAGAACAAATTGTGGTATGTTCATGCCCCCTGTGGGTGATTTCTCACTTTCTGTCTGTCTCTCCAGCGAGTGCATGCACCCTACAGCAAAACTTTCTCAAGAAAAAAAAAGTTAGCAAAAATAACAGGTATTATTTCAATTTCAATAATAATAGCATCTGACATCATCTGAAACAATATTAGTTGCTGTTTACACATGCCTTGCAGTTAAGATTCTTATATTTCATGACCTCACATAACTTTCAACGCAACCCTGTGAGATAAAAAAGACTGTTTAGGTACTTGCCAAAAATAATCACAACCAGTACATGGGAAAACTGGACCAAGAATCTATGTCATCTGATTCCTAACACAGTAAGGGATATTTGGGGTCTCAGTTTTATAATGTCTTTTCTTTCATAGTAGTTACCAGAGAATGAGAGTTCTTCTCTTAGGTCAAAGTATATGCAAAAAAAAAAAAAAAAAAAAAAATCAGTGGATGTATACACTTTTCACAGTCCTCGGATTCTTTAAAAAACCTGATGCCCTTGGGACCAGCAGTTGGTGTAATGGCTATGTTGCTGGACTCCCATGTAGCCAACCGTGGTTTGAGTCCCAGACCCGGTGGCTTATGTGTGTGAGTGCATGCCCAAGATCATGAGAGGAGAATGGAGAAGGGATTGAGGTGTGGCCATCCCTCCTGGGGAAGGAGGGAGTTCTCGCTTTCTGTCTCTCTGTCTCTGTCGTTCTGGTGAACGCACGCACCCTATAGCAAAAACTTCTCTTTAAAAAAAAAAGAACAAGGGGACCAGCAGTTAGCGTAATGGCTGTGTCGCTGGACTCCCACGTAGTCAACCGCAGTTCGTGTCCCGGACCCGGTGGCTTAAAAAAACTCACGCCGGGCGTGTGTGCGTGCGTGCCCAAGATCCCGAGAGGAGAATGGAGGAGAAGGGATTGCGGCGTGACCATCC